CGAGGGTAATGGTAGGGTTACCCCCACTTTGGCGATCGACGCACGAGAGCTGTACTACTACCAGGTTCCTGAGTATTTTATTTTCAAGTTGCGAAGTGGTTGGTCACCGAGAATGCGCGCCGGGAAGCAGATTGGTAGAATGTATACCGTTTCACCTCGGGACACTGAACGATACTGCCTCAGAATTCTTTTATTAAACACTCGAGGGAAGACTTCCTTTGAGGAATTACGAACAGTGGACGGTATCACATACAGCACTTTTGCAGAGGCAGCAAAACGTGCAGGATTTTTGGATGACGACAGATATTTCCGTCAAAGTTTAGAGGAGGCTATTCACTACCAATCCGCAGCATGTATCCGAAGCTTTTTCGCATGTTTGCTCTGTTTTTGTGAGGTTGTTCAGGCACAAGATTTGTGGGACGAATTTCGCTGATGCAATGTCAGATGACTACATCAGTCGAGGGTTCGATCGCGAACTGGCAGTAGCATTTGCCTACTTTGATATTCTGGACCGAATGGCTCTCATAGGCAAAGATCTCAGGGAAATAGTTTCCCCTCCAGTCGCCGAACGTCCCGTAGCACCTACATTGGCGGTGAACCATGAAGAACACGAAAGAAATGGTTGGATCCGATGTGAAAGTCTCAATGTCAGGCAAAGGGCAGCAGCGGACGAAATTCTTGACGCACTGAACAGGGATCGAAATAGGTGTATTTTCGTAGATGGTCCTGGGGGAAGTGGCAAGACCTACTTATACAACACCGTATACGATATTGCTGTTGGACAAAGGCATCAAGTCGTTTGCGTAGCTTGGACTGGAATAGCAGCGAATCTTTTGCCAGGAGGAAGGACTGTCAACTCTCTTTTCAAGTTGAACATAGCAGACGGAAACCGAACACCTTCTATGAGACGCCAGCAAAAGGAGGCTCAAGAACTGATGGCAGTGGACATGATAATTTGGGACGAAATTTCGATGGCACCCTAAAGCCGCTTTGGAAGCCGTGGATGTTCTATTGAAAGATATAATGCAAAACGATGAACCATTCGGTGGAAAAGTAATGGTTATTGGGGGAGATTTTCGACAAGTGCTGCCAGTTGTCGAACACGGACAGAGGGAGGATTTCGTTGATGCTTGCGTTCACAAGTCTTTTCTTTGGACATTAATTCTCCATTCATCGTCTAAACGTTAACATGAGAGCAAGAGAGGCTGGAAGTGATTGGCATGAAGTCTTTTAGAAATAGGCAATGGTGAATGCAATGACGCCGACAGCTGTATTCAAGTGCCCGAATACATGATGTGCTATACTGATATTGTTACGGAAATCTTCGGAGTTGCACTCGACCCAAATAGCACGTCTGAACTGTGCGAGAGTGCCATTCTTGGCACCGAAAAAATATTCACGTACAGCGCCTTAACGATGTTGCTCTCGACCGTCTTCGTGTAGACAATCCCCAAGACGAGCGCACATACAAGAGCATCGATGAAGCTATTTACCATGAAGGCCAAGGCGAGCAGCTTTTTCAACAAGAATATCTGAACTCTTTGACCCCACAGGCATGCCACCACATGAGTTACGACTGAAGAAAGGAGCGATTGTAATGCTCCTGAGAAACCTCGATGTAACTAATGGCCTTTGCAATGGAACAAGATTGAAGGTAGAAACACTGAGAAGATTCACTCTTGGCTGCAAATTTATATGTGGAGAAAGAAGAGGGCAGCTTGCTATAATTCCTCGAATCGACAACTACTGGGACAAAAGAACTCCATTTCCGACTCCGACGGCGGCAGTTTCCTATTCGGGTGGCGTTCGCCATGACCATCCAACAAAGCACAAGGGCAGTCCTTCAACAAAGTAGGTGTCTATCTCCCGGAACATGTTTTTTTCTCACGGCAATTATACGTGGCTCTCTGCCGCGAGAACCCCCCAACGGAATCAAGATCAAGTCATCCACAAAATTCGATTAAAAACATAGTATTCGACGAGGTCCTGCTATAATAATACAATAAACACTACCTATCACTTCGTGCACTACCTAAAACAATTTTGCAAATGTTGATGGACGCTTGACGCTGCAAATCACTGAAGTGTAAACATATACGAATATAATAGAGGAGGATCTTTAAGAATGAGAAACGAAACTGCTAGAAACTAGGCGAGCACAAAACCAAAAACCAGTGCTGAACAAAACTAGCAACTATATTTTTAGATAAAAAACGGTTTTGTGGAAAACCTCAAGCAACAGAGCTATGAACTTAGATCAAGACAAAATCCACGTTTGAGAGGTATCAACGGCACAGCATTTTGACAGCCAGGTAGAGAAACTTTAGCAAAGAAGCCCTTCATCAACAGCATCACAAAATTTTGCGTAACCTCAGGATCAACCACCTTCACAAAACCAGTGCAACTGCAGCACCAGGAAAACAAAAACTTTTGTACAGCAAATCTTAAAAGTGGAAATGTATCGGGCTAGTAGTAGTGGGCTGAAAGCATTCAAAGAATTCAAGGTTCCTAAAGGTACGCTCTGTGCTCAGTGCTAAGCCGACCCTTTGAATATTTCCCTTCATTCCAACATTTCAGATCGGAAGCGTGCTATTCAAAACTGTATGTTGACCTGCGTTCGGTTGAGTGACAATATCGCAAGTCGTAACAGTTTTTGAACAACTAAGGCGCGTGGTCATGGGTGGGTAGCAATATCGCACATCTTAAAGTAACTCCTCGAAACTCATCGTTGTCGTATCAAGAATTTTGTGGTTGGCCCAAATCTTTAACAGTCCTGAGGAAGAAGATATCAGGAATTTTGCCGTCTGAGATCTGTCACAGTCATGAGAAGAGCCGGGAATTTTTGAAGAGAATATGCAAAATCGCGGAGGTGGGAATGGTCTGAGAACATGAAGAAAAACTTTATAACAGTTCAAAGTTCCCAAAGGTACGCTCTGTGCTCAGTGCTAAGCCGACCCTTTGAATATTTCCCTTCATTCCAACATTTCAGATCGGAAGCGTGCTATTCAAAACTGTATGTTGACCTGCGTTCGGATGAGTGAAAGAGATTTTCCACACAGCCTCTGACAATATCGCAAGTCGCCACAGATTTTGAACAACTAAGCGTATGGTCAGGGTATGTAGCAATACATCACTAGCGGCATGGTAACGTTTA